ATGGCCCTAACACCCAGCTATCTTCCTGTGTGGTTCTCAAACTCTCCTTCCTTCCATCATTTATTCACTTACAAAGATTTATACCTTGTCTTTTGATAAGTGCCTGCAAACCAAATCCATATCAGAAACATAATAAATAATAAATTGGATTAAAACACCAATAAAGCCTACAATAGATAAACACAATAAACATTCAGCAAGATAAAAATAGAAACTAAACCAATTAAAAGGTCATCTCTAAAAGAACATGAAAACTGAGCACACGTCTTTCAGTGCAATGAAGCAACCATCAGCCATGCCTAGGAGGAAAGTTCCAGAGTTTGTTTGGCACACGAGAAAAAGCGTGTTCTCTGGTAGTCACTCACCTAATTTCCAAGGAGGAGCCACACTTAGAGAAGATTATCTTAACTGATGGACAGGCTATAAGGAATAAATATGTGTTCTAAATGCCTTGACCCCAGTCAGTTTTGAACAAAACCTGCACTTTGAATAAGTTGAGAAGCAAACTGAATGCGAAACAGCATGGAGGTGTCCCACTGGATATGTAATAAGTGATTCTTGGATTGTGACTACATATATATTCATGTGTGTGTGTGTGTCCTCTCCTGTCTTGAGAAACCAGATACTTATTTTTGCTACATTGCCTATTCCTTCGCAGAGACTGCTAACTTCAAAGTGCAATGAGTATGTCAGGCACCATGTGGTCAGGCCACAAACATTTGCTTCATGCTATCAGTACTTTGTGTCAGTATTTGCTTGGATGATTTCTTTTTTATCAGAATGTGTTTCTTGCGGAGGTTAATGGTTAACAGCTGTGACATCCAAAGTGCTCTGTCAATTTGCAGCTCTTGCAACCTGTAGGTCACTGGTGAGGCAGCCTTCATGTTTGGCCTGAACATTGTCTTGAGAACTGACCTTGAGTGACTCCCCCATATGACGTTGGATTGACAGCCAACTTGCACAGGAGCTCTACAGCAGAATGGCAGTGATGCCAACAGCCAGACTATGGCTGGAATCCTGTGCACACTTATGTCAGGGAAAGTCTTGCTGAAGTCAATGGGAGTTATGTTACCAGTAAACCTGCACAAGATTTATGATCGGGGGAGTAACTGTATAAGACTGTCTATAATATAATAATATATTGCATACTTCTGACTTTAATACGTAAACACACTAAATATGCAATAGCATATCCAAGCTATATGCATTTTAAAAAATATACAGTACAGTGGTACCTGGGTTTAAGAACAGTCCTGTTTATGAACGATTCGGTTTACGAACTCTGCAAAACCAGAAGTTTTTGAGAACTTCACCTTGGTCTAAGAATAGAATCCAAATGATGGAAGGGGACCGGTGGCCTCATATGGGAAAGCACACCTCGGTTTAAGAACAGTTTCGGTTTAAGAACGGACTTCCAAAACGGATCAAGTTTGTAAACCGAGGTACCACTGTATGGTAATTTTCATAAGTAGCCAATATACAAAAGTACTTCTAGAGCAGGGGAAAGGTTGCTTAGTAGTTTTTCCAACAGTTTTCTATGTAGTTACCTCCCCTGTCCCTCAAAGTTCTAGAAATAGGATTAACAACTTCAGAATTTGGGATTAGAAGCAATAAAGGAAGGAAAACACTTTATTATGGCTGGGTAATGCATGAAGTAAAGAATTTTTGCTGTTCTTGTGCACAGTGCTGCCATGGTAAGCAGATTGTGGCATAGTGCATTGGTGGGCGCCAGTGACCTCTGTACCAGACACGAATCAGTAAGGGTGCAAATCTATGGAGAACATACTCTTTGCACAGAGATGGTTTTATGGTTCATGTTGGAACTGATCTTCACCTAGTACATTTATCTTAGCAATTCAGTTTTGGTGCTTTATCAGTGAGAAGCCACTTGAAACCACAATAAAGGTGAACAGATAGCCAACTATTGGTTATGTTAGAGATTAATAATATCAGCAGGAAATTGATTTATACAAAACCAAGGGTCAAAGTTTTTAATCTCCACTCCTCATGCATGAAGGACAAGAGGAAAGGAGGAGCGAACAACCATAAGGCTTATAGTGGAAGTCTTACAATGGGAAACCATGGTTTCCTGTTAGATTTGTAATGAATAAATCTCTATATCCATAATTCATCTCTATTTCTGAGTCATGTGACTGGGCACCCTTTCTACCTACTTTACTTGTTATTAACTCTTTCCTCCTACTAATTTATCTCAAAAGAATAGCTACTCCCGAACTTGTAGTCCTCGAACTGCAATTTAAATGATATTATAAGCCAAACTGTTTGCTTCCATATTGTGATAAATATGGCAGCTTCGAGCAAAACCTTCTCCTGAACCGTATTCAGAAGCATGGGTATAAAGATGAGGTTCTGTAAGAATGTTAGCCAGATGACACGAACCACTTTTTAACTGCATTACTTATCATTTCAACATGCATTCAATTGAATTATGGCAATGCAGTATGAGACTGGGTTCAACATGCAAATACCAGGAGAGTCATTCTCTGATTTCATCAAAGTCTCTTTGAGATATTGATCTATCTTCTACAATGAAGGGGCAGCCTTAGGAAAGACAGTCATGCATAGCAATGACATTATTGTAAGGTTAGGGCCAATTTATACATGATACACAACTGCATGTAACACACTCTCTCTCTCTTTTCAGAATGCAAAGCAGGAATGGAAGTTGAGGGTGGGAAGGAGCTATTTAACACTTTCTGCTTGGGCTATTTTTCGGCTGCAAAGCCAGTCCCTCCAATGTATCTCTCAGTGAAGAGCAGCTTCAGAGTGGTTTTTAGAGGGGAAATAGTATGAGGGGAAAGGATTAAGCTCTCTGTTTCAGCACACCTTTCTCAGGCATAAAATTGGGACATTACCTTGAAAAGTATTTGCATATCCTGCTGGGTTCCATCAGTCATATGGCCTGCATCCTGACTTTCTTAGGAAAGGCAGGATGGTCTTCTAGTATCTTTGTTTGCCATGATCACAAAAGTATCTACAGCCATAATGTCTTTGATGTCCAATAGGTTTTTTTGGACCACCATTCAGCCAAAGTTTAACAAATTTAAAGTCCCATTGCTTCTAATGGGAAAGTTTGAAGTGCCGTCTTACTGATTTAAACCTGCTTAAATCTCATGCATGCACATCCCTATCTAAATAAATAAATAAGTGGGTGGATGAATTCTTAGGCCACCTTTATAAATTCAATACTATTATCACAAGGGTTAACAAACTACGGTAGTTCCGTGAGTAGCTGCATGCCATTATTTAGCACTTTTTACTGTTAGGAAGAACAAGGTGCCTTTCCTTTACTGAGGTACAGTTAAGGAATTGCAACTCAAAGCACAAAGAAAGCACTGGAATTACAATTAGTATCAATTTAGATGCTAAATAACTTTTTTTGGGGGGGGGAATCTAAAATCTCTACATTTGTTTAATGAGCAATTAATTCAGTAAACATTGGTGCACAGCTGCACTAATGTATACTGTCCTGTTTGCATTTACATATAAAAGCAGCCAATTCCTTGAAAAAAAAAACCCCAACTTTTAAATTTACGGTTAAAACTTGTACTATCAATTTCTGTCTGTCAAATGACAGTTATGCATGATGAGTAAGAGCTTTGCTGGACTTGAACTCCTGTCATTTTCTATTTCACTATCCCAGCACTAATCTTTGCACAGTTCTATAAATACCATCTCCCTCCTCCTTCAAGAGGGCTTGACTTCTTTTCAAAATGCTGAAGTTTGAAAGGCATACCATGTCCCCATACACATTCTAATAAATTTGATGTAGTTTGATGGGGGGAAATTATGAATCATCAAGTTTATCTTCTATTTCTTTTTTTAAAAAGACAATGTTAACAAAATGTTTAGACAAAAGCATGCAATGGCATGAATTCACCATGGAGGAAAAAGAGTTCTGATAAGAGAGGGGCCCAGGAAGCAAGATGACACAGATCTATCAAGGCTGAACATGGGTTAAAGAATGTCTCCTGATACATTTTCATTGCTGTCTTCTACTTTTGTTTGTTTATGCTTTTTTATCTAAAAGAAGTAATAGGAAATCAGGATTTCAAACAACTTCTTTTTGCTTTTTTTTTAAAAAAGGACTCGAGCTCCTGCATTGTGTCTGAGGCCTTGCATGAGAAAAGCAATTTCCACTTGTGCAGTGGAACATTCCATTCCTTCCCCCCGCCCCCCCGCTTGCTTCCCAATATGTTCTTCAGAACAGATTTAGGAGGGGTTTGGGAGGGGACACATACTGGGAGAAGAGGGAGGGGGGTTCCAATGCACTAGTGGGATTCATTCCGCTTGCACAAGGACTTCCTGGGATTCAATCCTCTTCGACTTGAAATGGCGCCCAGCTCTTCAAATATCGTGTGTGTTTTGCTGCTGCTTTTACTCTCCTGTGGCACATTCAAGGAATAGCTGGTGCAGTTTGCATCTTACTGATTTGTGTTGCAGAAGCTACTCACCCACAATATTCCATACATTACGAGGAATGCTGAACCTGTTCTTAATGAAGATCTAAAGCAAATCTGCTGACTGGGAAAGGCTATGTTCAAAATGGCACATGCTTAAGTCTCAGCGAGGAAAGTAACAAAGTGTCATCACCCACCTGACTTCCCCCCAAATCAATTTAGCTGCTCAAGTGCTTAAGTTAGCGTTTGTGAGCGTTGATCTTCAACACTCGAACAGTACAGTTCTTGCATGTCCCATTCAGTTCTTGCATGTCCCAGCCAGCTGATTCCCTTCCTCAAGAAAAAAAAAATACTCTTCTATTGGAGAAGAGGGAGGGTGGTAACTAGCAGTGAAGGGTGGGTGGGTGATCAGTAGGTGGGGATTGTTGGGCTCTGCCGACCCTGCTAATGACAACCAACTCCACACAGCTCAGGTGAGGCACTTGCTGCTAAGAGACAGTACAAGTCTAATTTTGCCTGGGGAAAACCCAAACAGATATGGACTCAAAGAATCTAAGGCAGCAACAGGTACATACTTACCATTTTCTGGCTGGTCCTTGATATCAGCTTCACTTGGCTGGCTTGGACTTTCAGACTGACTTGAATCTAAAAAACATAAAAATGGCCAAAAATTATAGGAATCGGTTGTGGAAATAAGATTTCCAAGTTCCAGACTTTAGATGATATAGATTGCAATCTCTCTATATTTCCATCCGATAGAATATACAGTATTATATTTTCACTGAACTTTAATGGAGTAATCAGATTACATTACATAGTTTTCCATTAATCAAACTTTGTTGTAGAATAAATTCTACAAAATCTGAAACCAAAATTCGTAATTATAGAAAACTTTGAAAAACCATGCCGTCAGGCAAAGAATTTGGCTTTGTAATCCAGTGTGGGTTTGGGGCATGTGAGATTCCCTAATACTGCAATGTCATTATTTTTCAACAGCCTAACAACTTGCTGTTGAGACATTAACCTTTTCATGTTTGTATTATTAACTACCTTTGTATGAAAGCGCAGGCTTAATCAGCTGCTTTAATTCACAGAAGCTTCTGAATGAATTTCAGCCTGAATAAAGAGCTATGGGGATTGAACGTTATCATTCTTTTCCAGCCTGAGAAGCCTGTTCCTAAACCCTAGAAACCTCTCTGTTTCTTGATGCCAATGCCCCAGGTTCCCAGAGCTGCAATTCCCAGGGTTGGCAGACCTCAAAACTTCGGAAAAGCTGGGGATCACACCTGCTATTTCCCTTTCTTCTCTTAACCTAGATAGTGTGTGAAGCTGGGGAGGATGAAAACTGGGGGGAAAGACAGCTGGTGGAAGAGCTTCCCATACCTGTGCCTTTCTGAGAGTTAGCCAAAAATGCTCAGAAAAGCCATCTATTGCTCTCTTTAAGTGGTGAACTCAAGTGGTGAATGGTGATAGATTCTGGTACCAAAACAGGACCTTGGTGCCAAAGAAGAGCCAATGAGAAACAAGAAGGAATTATCAGCAATGCTCTGGGAAACCTTGAGGTTTCCAGAAGTACAAGGGACATTGAAAATATCTGAAGCGGGCAATCCCATGAAAAAGAAATGGACCAATGTCATCTGAGCATGCTCAGTGCTCAGTAGTCATGACTGCTGAGTGTCAGCTGGACGAGAAAACCAGGAAATTGTATGTGTGAGCCTGCAGAAGGAATGAAATGCCCTGCTTCAGCCCCCTGCAACGTATAATATCATGGAAGAAAGCATGGCTGGCTGAAACCAGCATTTTGTTACAGATCCCCCTTCTGTCTAATTGGCATTGATAGAGAGAAGCTTATGCTTGTGGCAACCCTTGAGTTGACTTCACCTTGAATTTCCAAGGTGCAGTGAGAAAGTCTGAAATTTGACCACATTTTAGAAAGAACTCCACACAAGATCAAAAGGTCATAACACCATACTGTGATTAAATTGAAAATATTACTTCTATTGCTATGAAGTGATAACACCGCCCTTGAGGTATTAACAGCACGAAAGAAGAAGTACTGCTGATGACTTTGGGTCAAACTATGATAACGTATTACTTTTTGAAAAGTGTGCTAGCTTTTAAGCTAATGAATATTTTAATTATCAGACTACCATAAAGAAACTTTTGATACTCCATACGATCCCCCCCCCCGCACAGCCTGTCAATATGCATTTGTTATACAATGGTACCTTGGGTTAAGAACTTAATTCATTCTGGAGGTCCATTCTTAACCTGAAACTGTTCTTAACCTGAGGTACCATTTTAGCTAATGGGGCCTCCCACTCCTGCTGCCCGATTTCTGTTCTCATCCTGAAGCAAAGTTCTCAATCCAAGGTACTATTTCTGGGTTAGCGGAGTCTATAACCTGAAGCGTCTGTAACCTGAAGCGTCTGTAACCCGAGGTATCACTGTAGAGTAAAATAGACAAGCCCATATCAACTAAGAAACTATAGCTAATTAAAGTACACGAAACAATGTGTATATTTACAATTGTACATCTAAAATAAGTTTCATTCAAATGCATTTTTTCAATGTGTGTTCAGTTGAACCAAACTGTTAGTGACATAGTGGATTTCAGAATTAGTGTCCTTATTGCCAAACATTAACAAATAATTTTTCCTTGATTTTTCTAAAGGAAACGAAAATGATTAAAAAAATAAACAACTCATCTAGCACTGTGCCAAATTTCAGTGTTGTGAGATAGTATTATTATACTGTCATTTAAGATGAAATGGCTTACACGTTAAAATTCTAATTCTGTAATCCTATGCACCCCTACTTAGGAATAACCCACATGCGACCTACATCTGAGTAAATGTGTTTATGACTGGCCTGCAGGAGTTGCTAACTATTTGTATGCTATTCTTTTAAATGCTATTGGGTCATGCTGTTTTGTTCTGTTTTAAATTTATATATAATTGTATACCACTTTTGCCATGGAAGGCTTAGAGGACACACTAGTCAGGAAACAAGACAAGAACCTTATCATTTTTCTTAAACAAGAACAGAACAGCAACATGTTATAAGGTTGCAATAAGATGTGTGGTTTTTCCCCCCCTGACTACAGCATCATTATGCTTTTTCAGATCTACAGATGTATTTATTTTCTCAGTTGTCTTGATATCTGGGACCAATGGTTCATACTACAATACTTCCTATTATTGCATTCCTCCATCCTTTCCAGCTTAATTTCCATTTTGGGGGGAGAAGGGTATGGAGATTCTGCATGCTGTCCGTATGATTCATGCTTTGGCGTCAGGTATTAAAACAAAGTCCACAGGATCAATGTCCCAAAACATTCTGTTTCTCCAACTCTCCACAGTGCCATTTTGACAACTACTGCATGATTTAGGAGATTATCCAGGTTATGGCTTCTGAGCTCTTTGATGGAAGCCAGTCCTCCTATAAACTACATTTCTCTTGTGGATGAAATGGGCATCAAAATTGGTCAGAACAGTCTCATAGTTGTGTTTAAGTTCTGAAGGCCTACTTCAGCAAAGATGATAGATTTGTAAGCATTGCAGAGTTTTGTGGGTGACATGGTATTTCTATTCAAATCAAGCCATTACAGGATTATTATTTCTGTGTCTGCTGCAGAAAATGGTGCTAATTTTCTTTGTCAGAAATTGGTGCATTTAAAACTTGACCTCCCATACCATGGCATGGAGCACTTAGAGGAAACAGCTAGGAAGTTAGACAATATTTATTGCCCCTCAAAACAAAAACAGCAGCATCAAGAAACACCCAACTATACTGGAGTTCAGTGCCTTCTAGGGTCTAAAATATATAATTGACATGTACAATTACAATAATATCAGAATGAAGTATTATATATAAACAAGTAATGTAAAAGGATATTATGATATTATGTTGCAAACAAGGAATATAAAATTATACTATGTCGTTCTTGGATTTGAAATACAATAAAGCTTGGATGTCACAAATTTATCCCAGTGTTTATACTTTTTCTGACCTTCTTTTTTCATCCTGGCTATCTTTAAATTTATTCTGTTTTTGAAAAGACCCTTCAGTCTTTTCGGCTACCATCAGGATTAAACATGGGAACTATGGCTCTGAAGAAAGCAAACTACCAAAATGTTTCAAAACAAAATATAATTCTGTTTCCTTGATTTTTATTCAGATACTGAAGATGATTTGACACAGTCAAGAGTTTCAGTGTTTGGTTATTAAAGAGGAAATTCACAGAGCAGTCCTAAAAATGCAAAGTACACAGCAGAGGGTTTTCATTTGGTTCACACACCACAGCCCTATTCAATAGTATGCTGACTGTAACTTCCCTATTTTGGATTGCTAAAAAGATAACTCAAAATCCAGCTTTTACAGTATATTACACACTTTGTGTTCTGATGCACACAAAACATATCCAGTGAAATCAATGTGCAGAGTAGATAACATATTTAATTTATGTAAATGAAAGAAATTTTCATCCACATTTGAATTAAATTAATATTACTTAATATTATTACTTAATATAAATTCAGGTTAGCCATTCATTTATTTATTTTTCTCCCTCCACACACACACTCATATACACAAACACACAGAGGCAGAGTTATATTCCACCACCTACATAAATTAAGAATCATGCAAAAATGCATAACCATATACATACTAAATTGGTGTTCCCCTCAAAGCAGGTTTTATTGCTGTTAGGGCAGGTAAGATAAATAATTATAAAATTATTATGAAAACAGGGCAGTTCTGATCCAACTAAACATAATAATTTTAAAATCTCATTAACGTCAATGGAAGAAAGTTAAACATATACATAACTCTGCCGCTGAAATCAATGGGATTTAAAAGCAGATTGTGCCCGGTATTATTAAAGTGAGACTTTAATTTATTACAGATGGAGATAGAGCCATTATAGTGAAGTAAATTATTAGTCACACACATCCAGTAATCTAGTTTGAGGAAACGTTTGCTGGTGGATTCCAACAAATCATAAACATCACAGTATTGGAAGGTGAAAAAAGCCTATAGATAAGCTTTTCCAGGGCTGTATCAGCTAGCTATATGGCGCTGCTCCCAAGGAATTATACTGTGGAGTCTCCAAGTGGACTTTCTCTTCTCCATTCTCCTTTCCATTGTCAATGGTGGCAGCAACAGGGGGATCTTGGGATGCATTGCAAGGGGAGAGTTTTGGACAAACTGAGAGGGAACTGGGTTGGCAATGGCTTGGGAGGGGTTGGTAGGTAGGCTGGGATGGTGAAGGAGAAGGGGATGTGAAGTGAAGTGGGTTGGAGGGAGTTGTGAGGGGATAGGGCTTGGGGCAAGGTGTAAAGGGAGGGAATTAGCAAGGGGTGGATGGGTAGGTGGGCAACAACAGAAAGGAAGACAGCCCCTAGTAATCACATATATTTCCTCTACTTTTGATGAATATACTGTGTCTAATGAGAGAAATGGCATGACAGACGAGCCGAACTTTCTTCTTCTGATGCAGCATCTGATTTCATGATCAGGTTTTCTGAGACTTTTTAGCCTTTAGACAGGATTTCTTGACTTTCACAGGCACAGTAATATTATATCAAAATCCTAACTCGGATCCTGAAACTTTATCAGTCTCTAAAAACCACAGAAAGCTG